CAAGGAAGCGAGATCAATAAGAAAATTGTATATTTTATAAACCCTCCGGGGCGCACCAAAAACCGGTGGCTTTCTCTTTACTTTCAGCATTGGTCTATGTTGCTCTATGTTCTTAATGCCAATAAAATAGCTTGAATGGTGTTGGTTAAAGTTTAAGGTAAAAAGTTGTGACTTCGCTTTTAAATTTATTTTCTTAGAACATTTGTGGATAGTCTAAAGTTGCACGCATGCACTAATTTTAATTCATAAATCATGGCCACAACTTCACTACATTTTTTACCTTTTTCATTTTTATATTCAAGTACACTAAATTGTCATCAGCAAATTCAAACTACAACTAACTATAAACTGCATCGTCGACACTCTCTCAAAATTCGGTTTTGTGTCTGCAAATTGCCGCAATAAAATATTTAAATTTCAATTTGAATGCTCAACAAAGTTAGGCGTAAACGACGGACAATAACTTAATGCGCACTTTATTTGGAAATCTTCTCCTCGAACCCTCGTTATTGCGGAGAAAAAAATAAAAACAGATAAAGAGATATAATAAAAACAAAGTAGCGAATTAAACTTTCAACTTTCGAAAAAAATTGAAATAAATAAAAATAAATCATGTGACAAAGGTCAAATAAATCTTAGTCTTAAACGCCGCAGTGAAGTAGAGCTGTCAGGGGCTGGAATATTTAGAACTCAGTAAACATAAATAAACGGCAGTTATAACTAGTGGGAGGACAGCAGCGTGAGAAAAAGTTGGGAATATCGCAAAGAGAGCAAATATTTTTATCAACACAACAGCAGTTACAAGCTGTGGGCAGCACAAAAAATTGCTTTGTTGATAAGGAAACAGCACTTGCGTGTAATTGTGACTACCAAACATATTTAGCCTAGAGTCCACAGAAGTTCGGAAAAAAGAAGCGAACGAAAACTGCAAATGGAACGAAGGCGTGAAAATACATTAAAAATATTATGCACACACTTCTCAAAGTGTAGGAAAAACCATGAAGTAGCTAACGGACACACCTACACACACACGCCCATTAAGCGCCAGTTGCTAGCAGAACAGCAATGATTATCATCGTCATGCTTGAGCCAAAATGACTGGCGCTCTAACCACAAGAGAGGCGATAATAGCAGCGGTACAGGCAGACAGCTAAAGCCAAAGCGAGGTTAAAGCGATTTCTACTTTCTGGGGAAATATTTTGCAAACAAAAAGTTGCAGAAAAACTGCACGTTGAAATATCTGCAGCATAAGGCCACAAAGCCAGGGTCACATTAATAAAATAACTCAACAACAACAGCAAACACAAGAGAGAGTTTTGTGTGTCCTTGAAGAAAACGTGTGAAAAGCCTACACACCTGCCAGCAATCAGCGCCAGTTGTGAGATAATACTAGGCCACAAAATGACAGTTATATGCCACAGAAGGGCGAGTTAAACCAGAAATGTATTGTAGCTGCTGCTAAAATAAAAGCAAAACAGCATAATACAAAAATAGCAAAGTAAACGAAACGTTAAAAGGCAGTAAAAGTTAAAATGAAAAGCGCATTGGGATAATAGCACACGCACTCTACATAATTGAAGTAATACGTGGATGAACACTTATATTCACAAACACATGCATTTATGGTTATACCAGCGCATAGACAAACGGCGCATTGACACGTAAAGAGCAAATGGATTTATTTTGTGGAAAGGTACAGGGTGTTGGGTATAATAATAATAAAATGTTAAGTTATGCTGTGTTACCTTATGTTAAGTTATGCTATGTCAGGTGCAATTAAGTTATGTCATATGTTGTGTTAAGTTAAGTTATTGTGTATGTCATATTAAGCTAAGTTATGTTAAGTAAGTTAAGTTAAGTTAAGCGGTGTAATGTTATGTTATGTTAGGTTTAGTTAAGTTATGTTTATGTTAAGTTAAACTTAGTTAAGTTATGTTATGTTATGTTAAGTAAAGCTATGCTTTGTTTTATTAGGTTTGGTTAAATTACATTAAACCAAAATTTGTGTCTTGACTTATTATGTTCAGTTGTGTTGTGTTATGTTATATATTGTTATGTTAAGTTATTTCACGTAGGTAATATTTCTTGACTCATATGGTAAGGTTGCTGTCAAATATTCAGCATTCGCCTATAAATCAAAGGAGTATTATATAAATTCATTAAGTTGATACCAAATTTCTAGAAAATAACAACCGCAATAACTACTTGCAGAGGATATATAAATATATACATATAAACTCGGAAAATTATTAAGTATCAGTTCAGTTTAAGACCAGTTTCGAAAATAATTTAATATATGAGTCTTCTAAAATAAACTTTTGTTATATTTACACAAGAATTAACTGATAGTAAAGAAAACAAAAACTTTCTGAAAAAAAGTAGTTTCTCTACTTCACAACACCCTGTTTCGATTAGCATGCTTACACAGTATACCATCATATGCCGAAAATGCTGACGTTGCCTTTATTTGACATAAAAATATTATTTGGAATTATTAAAGCGCCTGAGAAACCAAGCAAAAGTGAAAGTAAAAAGAAAATACACAAAAAACGAAAATGAAAGTAAGGGAAAGCAAATAAAAGTGCAAAGTCCACTTAGTGAATGCGTAAAGTTACGTGTACAGTTGTTTTTTTCTGCCAGCAACACGGTGTTTTGCCACCGCTACTGGCAAACTAAGACAGGCGGAAAAGTAACTTTTTACACGCTTATTGGGTGATTATGCATGCAGGACGTACAAAAGTTCGCACCAACAAGGCCACACTGCAGAAAATGTGAAAATACGCAACAAAAAACACTGAAACCTGAGAAAAAAAAAACAGTAGTGAAAATATTATCAGGTAATGAAGAGGAAAGTAGCAATCAGACAAACAGCGAAGTCTGAAATGCCTGCACACAAACGCACAGATAACGGTTACGTAGCCATGAGATGGCAGAAAAAATCACTAAAGAGTCCGGTGCGCAGTGTAGCAGAACGAATCGTCATTCATGGCAGAGATGTTATCTACGCATAGCAACAACACCACATACATACATACATGCGGGTGTGTGTGAGGAGTCAGCACATAGGTTGAAAAGTAGGAGGCGGATAACTGCTTTCTAGTGCTAGTGGAGCGTAACACACGTATAGAACGCTTATCAAATTAAGTGTGAAATTGAAAAGAAGCGCGTACGCGCTGTGAAGAAAGCATGAAAGCAGCAACAATAAAAGCAGCTGATGCAGCAGATGTTCAGCTCGATTTCGTTGCGCTAGCTGTTTTACCATTTCTAGTCAGCTATTGATGTGATAACATTTTTATTTTCCAGCTGCCGTGAAACTGAGTAATAGTGCTTACTTTTGTTATGGCAAGTAGCAAAATTCACCTTTTCGAAATATGTATGTATCTATCTACGAGCGCACGCATAGGAACGGCTGTCGAGATTGAGATATAAATATGCTTTGCAGGAAGTGAAAATTTATGGTCAACTCATTGAACGGAAACCCTCGTAACTCTAAGGTTATGCACCATGTACCTAGGGGTTTTATGACTAATTTTGCGAACTTTTTAATATTAAATAAAATAATGTTCGGGGTGCAACAAATGTTTGATTTGTTGCGATTTCGATACAATTTTACACAAAAAAAAAGATTTTTCATTAAAAATAATTATTAGGTAAGCTCTACAACTGCTATGATGGTTTACTTTTACTATTGCAATGATAATAGAAATACAGGTTGATTGAAAAGTAAGTAGTTCTCACTAAAAAATAGCACTACTAGCTTCAAAATCTGTCGACGAAGAGGATCCACGCGAAGGACGACCCAATCCCGCAACCACACCAAAAATCATTGAGCAAGTTCATAATATTGTTAGTGAAGATCCAAGTTTGACTAAGCGTGAAAAGCGTGCAGCCTTTTGGATCAGCTGGATGAAGAACTTCTTGTGAAAAGACTTGGTTTGCAGCACAAAAAATCTCTTTTCATGAAGACAATGCACCTGCTCACAAAGGTGTTTTAACAATGACAAAATTCAACGAATTAAAGTACAAATTGCTCGAGCATCCACTGTATTCACCAGATCTCTCAACCAACCATATTGTTTTACGAAAAATGTAAATTTATGTTTAAGAATATTTCATGTACATAAAGCACAAGTTGTTTATGTTACACTCCTCCGATAAGGTATTTATACCTGAAACGAATCTAGTTCCCTGAATTAAGCCGAAGGCACCTCGATAAAATGCAACAAATGGCTTGACTGGTGGCCTTTTCTTAGAAGCTTTTTCTATAGGACACAATGAACTATCAGATATCTAGACGATTGAAGGTTTTACTAATTGCTTAATTTCCAGATTTCTAGGCTGGTATAAGATCGGAGCTAGTTGATGTAAAGTTTAGTCAACTCTATATAGACACATGTAAGAAGCTGTGTCTTTTAAACACAATCAGTTTTCCTACTCAGAAGGTATATTGGAAAAATGAATAAAGCATCGTGAACAGTTTCGGTGTATCAGAAGGTCCATAGAGATATGTGTTCTATCTATTAATTAAAACAATCGAGAACTTTATTCGTTTCAAAAGTGTTTTATTTTGAGTTAATAATCGGTAAGAGTAATGATTTTGGTTGAAATATTTGAAGATTTCTTATCAATCGTTTTTCAGAAATTGGTATCTGCAAATCATGTTGCTGAAGTCAATTAACTAATAAATTGATAAGAATGATTTGAGGTTTCGAAACCATTTTCATTCAATCATATACATGTAGAAAATAGGTTTATAGGTATGTATATGGTATCTATATATAATGAGTTGCTAATTGTATCAACAGTCAATATTGAAATACACACTCGTTTATGCACCATAGATAATAATTTAGACACACAAACAATAATCGATATGTACCATATATACAGCCCTTACATTGATTTTCAGCACACATATGAGCCATTCACTTCATCACTCATTCACAAACACACATGTTAGTCAAGTAGAGACGAATTTGAGTATATATTATTCTACTTACCCTATCACCTTTCTCGCCAGTCATTCCCGGATCGCCACGTTCACCTTTTTGACCTTGCTGACCACGTTCGCCCGCCGCTCCGGCATCACCTTTATCACCTGGTGGACCCTTCGGTCCCGGCGAAGAGCTACGCATCGGACGCATTGAATTGCCCATTAAGGATTCCTGTGTTTGTTGTATGGTTTTTGGCAAGTATGTCGGGTGTATGTGTTTGTGGGCAAAGTAGAAAAATTTGAAAAAATATATTAGTAAAGTTTTGCCAGACAACAGGTGTTCGTATACGTTGTTCAAAATGGAAATTGCTTCTTTTTGTGTTTTTCTCTTTTGGCCAATACTAGTATAGAAACGCCAATGAGTTTTCTGTTCCCTCATATTCCTATGTGGCTTTGACCCACAATTTCGTTGCTTTTGAGCTTATCTTTGGTATATGCTGTTGTTATTAGTACTTTTTCTTTTGTTGTTGTTGTGATCCTTTGTAGCTAGGTGATAAGCACCTTTTGATTAATGATGTTGCATTAAAAAAAATCTCATTTTACTATTAACGCACGTTTTCAATAAGACTAGTTGTTGTTGATTTTGTTGTGTTACCGCTTTAGCCGCCTATCGCTGCTAATGTGTTTAACCCTTAGTCCTTCATTTGTTAGCCTGCCAAGCGAACAAACTACACTAATACACAGATCCAGCATATATGTTACATACATATACACAGGCATATGTGCTTTTACTGCTCACAGTACGCGCCTGTCGACAAGGGAATGCCGCTTAATTTTAAGCTTCAAAGCTGGGACTAATGTGAATGTGTCTACGCTGGAAAATGTGTTGAGAGATTTGGGAATTTTTGGTTTTTACTTTTGCTTTTTTGTTTTTCTATAAGCAGGTGTTTGTTGCTGGAAAAAGTAAGTTTCACATTCCCAGTGGAGATATGTGCGTGGGCTCGTAAAATGTAAGCTTTTGTGTGTTGAGCCCAACTGTCGCCAATTTGCGTCTGCCATTTTGGTTTGATTTTCTCTTAATTTTAGTGGACACTAACGAGCGCATGGTTCTTTGTCTGAGGCGATAACTAGACGCTAAAGGGCTTTTAATGTATTACCACGAGTGCGATACTGTGGTTGTAATTTGAGTGGCAATTGAGATGAGCTTGATAAATTAAGAATGAAAAAAAATACATTTTTGTTAAACTTTTTTTCGTATCGACAATGTATGAAAAAGTTAGAGAGTTTAAATCATACATTTTTTAATCAGCATTTTTTATATTTTTTCCAAATTCTCAACGGAAGTTTTATATAACCTGAAGCTTAATATAGACACAAGAGCTTAAGCATGAATGTCCTGAAAAATATTTCCATCCGTTATTACTTTAAAAATAATAACTACAATATATTTTGGTTGAAATAAAAGCTATTTCTTTTGAGATTACACAAAACGTCTAAGTATTTTAAATCCATCTGCCGAGAGCCCGGTTTTAACTGGCCGGCTCTCTATTTGGCTTTACCTAATCTCTTAAAGAGAAATCTCAGGGTAATTCAATATTTTTTTTAATAAATAATGGATATAGTTTTGACAAAAAAATTTAATAAATGAACAACATTAAACTATTTACGAGCATTGCTAGCCAGTCTTCCTCAAATAATTTTAGCTCAGCTTAGCATTTGTTTAAGCAAATAGTTACGAAATATTAAAAAAAAAAATCATACGTCAATAAAACATATATTTTATTGTTATTATTATTAATTTTTGAAAATTATAGCTAATAATTTAAACTGAAATTAAAATAAAAATTAAAATCAAAACTTAAATTAAAATTAAATTTAAATTTAAAATTAAAATTAAAATTAAAATTAAAATTAAAATTAAAATTAAAACAAAAATTAAAACTAAAATTAAAAGTGAAATGCAAATGAAAATGAAAATTAAAATGAAAGTAAAAATTAATTAAATTTTAACGAAAGTAAGACGTAAGAAAAGTAAGTAACTAAAATACTGTTAATTAAAATACGATTTTTAAGTATTAAACTGAAAAATATTAAAAATGTTTGCTTCTTGTCGTACGGTTTACTCTCTTTAAGATCAGTTTCTAAAAATCTATGCTTATTAAAATGCCCAACATCAACACTATTTTTATTTATTTCAATCCTCCTAGTAACCCCTAAAGCCGCTGTATAAAAAAACCAAACAAATAAACAAAAACACGCATATAGAATTCAAATTTCGAACCAGCCAGCAAAAAAACTTCAATAATGACTTGGTAAATGGCAGATCAAATGTGCGCAATCACGATGCAACAGACAGGGTTAATTTGCTTTGGCAGCAACCGCAATAAAGCAGAGGGAAAACAAGAAAGCATATAAAAAAGTAAATCGCAGCAGCCGTCGCAATAAGCATATAGTTGTTGCTTGGGATTTTGTTTTTTTTTGGTAATTTAATGGCTGTGTGTTTGTGTGTTGGGGAGTGCGCATATGTAAAAATAATAATAATAATGATGTTGCATGCTGTTGCGAGTTGCATGAAATAACAACAACAACAAAACCACAACAACGGCAACGACAATGGTATTATTAATAACAACAGTGGCAAAAATATTTAACTGCAGCTAGCAATCTCACTTCCTGCCACACAACGTCACATTTATAGGTATATAATCATGCATATATACATACATACATATGCATATGTGTATCTGCGATACATACATATAAAAATGCATCCTGCTTGGCATTTCCGCTCAACAGCCACAAGCCACAGTTATGGCTGCCTGCCATTTCGCCATCCGCATACGCTGACACCGCAAATGTTCTACCATTCTGCGCGTACATGACGTATGAGTGATATTTTTGCCACGGCAGCAAAAATACAAAAGTTTGTTTTACAAGTACAAATGCATATGTACTAAAGAGTATTTCTCATAACTTTTTGACGCGCATATGAAAAGCTTACTGCGTCTGTGCGTATGTGCATTTATATTACATATGAAAGTGAACAGTATTAAATGGAAATAAACTTCGCACAGTATGCCGTAAAAATATTTATACAAATAAAGTATAAAAGTTTGTTTTTTTAATTAAACAAAAAATATTTTGGAAACAATTCGATGACAAGTTTTTTAGCTTTTAAGTTTCCTGCAAATCTATTAGCTTTGAGTTTTTAACTTAAATAAAGTATTCACAATTAAATTTTTACGAAATATACTTGTTTATATAAATAGAAATTCATCATTAAAAACATCGAAGTGTTTTAAAACATTTTGTATTTAAAAATTTTATTTTATTAACTTTTAATTGTAATGAGAAGTAATCTTTATTTTCTGAAAGATTTTCGTTTGCTGTAACTGTTTTGCCGCACAGTGTACCAAATTTAAAGCCCAGTATAAAATTTTTTTACATATGCATTTTTTGTTTTAAAAGTTAACCATATTTGTTGTGTATTTTTATGGCTTTTGTCTTTGCAGCTGCTGTATGCAAATGATGTTGTTGGCAGGAAGTCAGTCGTACTAACTTTTGTTGTTTTGAAATAAAAGTGGTTGGGGATTGGTTGTACTTTCGCTGTTTCGTTATTTTAGGAAAAGTGCTTCTGAAGCAGACCATTTTATTTTTCTATTTAAATAACGTGAAACTTCGCTTATACCTGATTTGGGTTTTCTAAACATATTTTTTACTCATTTTTATTCCATACTTTTACCATACATAAATATTTGTTAAATTTTTTTATACCTTGAAAGTCCTCGTCGGGTTCCAATTAATCTGTTAATACGTTATTTTTGATAGGATATTTTTATGAAAGTTCAAAAAAGATTTAAATACTTTTAGAAATGTGTTTATGAAAATAATTCATTTAAAAAAAAAAAACAATATTCAGTTTAATTTAATACAGTTAAGTGATAAAAAATGCAAAGAAACTATAACATATACATATAAGTATATATGGGCGTTTTTAAAAAAAATATTTATCATTTATTTATTAAGTAGATATTTGTATATATAACGCTCAACTAGTTATAATAAAAATCTAAGGTCTAAAATGGTTTGTCTTTACAAACACAAACACGAAAATAAATATATAATTGTTAATTTGTATAAATTGTAGCAGGTGTAGGGCAACATATCCTCATCTTGAGTGCTGCTCTGTCACAATTCGACTCTGATAACTCGTGTGTTAGTTTTGAATAATATGTCGAAGCTGTCACAATATCTACTACGTTATATAAAAAATACTTAATTTTAACGTGTAAAATGCTCACTGAATATCATAATGTACTTGATAAAATAATTTTTTATATTTTTGTTTTATTATATATTGTTAAAATAATCTTTATATTTCATTTTAAAATTAGTTTTTATAAATATTATCATTTTGGTTTTAACTTGTTTGACAAAAATATATGTTTAGTACTTTAAAAAGCAAACACTTGAACTCTGGCAAGATTGTTGGACAAAGGAGCATAAAGGAAGATGAACCGCCAACCATATAAAAGATATTTAGACGCTTTCCGATCGCGGGGTTTTCAAAAATACCTGTACAATACGGGAAAATGGAAAGCCCTGCATGTATTTACGGAGATGAACCACTAAACGACGCACACCATAGCATACCAGTTATTTCCAGTGGCTTAACTGCGGCTGCCATTGAATTTGTCAAAGTGAAAACTGCACATAATAATATGTCAATGAGCGTAAAATGTTAAAAATTATTCGCAAGACTGAATTTTTGAAAAACAAGATTGAGTTTGACACTAATGGTGACAGAATTTTGACATGAATGTGGTAAACAGCATGAACTCGTCTGTTGTTGCAAAAAATGATAACATTATTCTCAGGTGCATATAATTACTTTCTGATCCGATTAAACTCGACACATCACCAGTGATGCATTTTTGAAACAATGAGACCAATTTAGACAGCAATAATGACATATCATGTTATGACTGTGACATATAGCCTAAATACGACTGATGTTACAAAAATTAAAATAATATTTTTACACATAAGTGCCATTACGAGACGCCTCAATATACAAGTATATTTTCTAAAAGAAAAGGCTGTGAGTAAGATTTTCAATTATTTAAAAAAATAATACTAAACTTTTCTATATGTTTTTCGACAGCGAAATTTATTCCTTTCTTCATCCACGCCATTAAATACAATAAATATTGCAACAATAAAATGGAAATC